TCGATCAGAGCTTCTCCTGGCACCTCGACCCCATACTCTCCGTCAGCTACTGCCCGCCCGACGACTCGCAGCCCCGCTGCAGCCTCTGGCTTCCTGCTGCCGAGCCGAGCGCGACGCAAGCAGAGAGCCAGGCTCATCAGAGCCTCTGCAACAACGACAGCCCCTGTGAAAGCGCCAACCCCACGCCCAGCTCGGAGGCAGCTGTGAGCTCAGAGGACACTTGGTTCGCGCTCAAGGCCAAGCTCTTGCGAGAGCAGAACCTCAAGATCGCCTCAGACTCGACCTGGACGCCCTTCCCGCACCTGCCCGCGTCACCCTGGAGCTCGGAGCAAGCGACCGGCAAGGGCACGAGGAGGGACGGCAGGGGGGCTGGAGGGGAGAAGATCTTGCCGGCGATCAACCTCGACTATGACTACTTCTCCTACGTGAAGCTGCACGGGCTGTCCAACGGCTGGCCTGACTTCGTGTTCCAAGAAGACTTCATGAAGCCCTCCTTGCACGAGGTCGTCGCCTACGCCAAGAAGCACAAGCACCTGCCCGGAGTGATCCCCGAGAAGAGCGTCCACGCCGGTGACTTCTCGTGCCAGCGAGAGATCGCGAGTGTCTTGCAGTACGTGGAGATGCTGGTGCTGTGGGCGAAAGAGCTGAGCGACTGCAACAAGCTGCTGGAGGAGCAGATCGGGCAGTTCAAGAAGGCGCATGCGACAGGAGACGAGAGGGAGCTTATGATGAAGGTGTCGAAGCTGCTAAGCAACATCGTCACCAAGAAATGCATCCAGCAGCTTCAGCTCTCGAGGCCTCAGGGAGCCGAGCTGCTGCAGTGGATGCGGGAGAACGGCTTGATCTGCTTTGCCCGCGTCTTCTCCAAGAACGGGCTCTACTCGCTCGAGCATGTGGCAAAACTGGACCAGCAGGACTGCGAGAGCCTCACGTGCTCGCTGGAGAGTCTAGGGTCTGTGGGGAAGCGGATCGAGCTGCAGCTGGCGGTGCAGCATCTGAGAGGAGACATGCGAGCCAAGGACATGAACTACAGGCTAGAGAAGTTCAACGACTCCAAGGTCCCTGTCTTCACCGCCTGGTCGAGCTTGAGCGCCACAGAGATCATCTTGTCGAAAGTTTACTTCCAAACCTTGTTCTGTTTGTACGGACTGCTTTGCATATCTCAGACATTCAGGTCGATGTCAGAGCCCATGTACTCGTGGTACGGCATTACTAACAGATCCACACCAGCATGGTGTATAGTCTTCGTACATTGGCCCTGTGGTGTGATCAAGGGAGCCTTGTGGCTCAAGGCAGTGTATGACGCCAGGTACAACTCCCCCCACCAGGCTTCCCGGACAACACTCTAGAACATCAATGTCCAAATCTTTCAAACCTTCTGTCAGATCCTCACGGAGATAGTCCAGCTGCTGGGGGGCTGGCATGACAAGACCGAGCCATGGACGCTGCACAAGAGCCTGACGCGGGGGTTTCTGTTCGAGTACTTCTCCCTCGCTCCTTTCACGATTGTCATGGCCTACCTGTTTGTCAATCGTCAGGACATGATCGTGACGTTCATGGCGCTTGTTGGGTTGCAGCAGGGGCTTGTGCTGGCACCAATGCATCTTGCTCAAGCTTCGATGCTGAGAGCGTTCTACAACTTGACTTCAGGTCTTGTGTTCTGGTTTGCGTACTTCACTTGCACGACTCTCAAGTGGAGCATCCAGAAGAAAGCGTCGAGGAGAGTCAATGGCGACAAGAAGAAGTATGCCGAGCAGTGGTCTCGTCTGCTGCAAGTGCCAGCCAACCAGGCGATAGTGACGAGGCTCATCGCGAGGACCGAGAGGATCGAGCAGACGGTCGACCGGGAGTATCGGGCCTGCTTCGCCGCTGCGACCATGACGAGGAGCTGGAGGTTTCGGAATCTCTTTCAGGAGCCTGTAGGGAGGTTCTCCTTCAAGGGGAAGGTCCGCCAGCAGACCAACAACTTCGGTCAGCTCTTCTGGCAAGCCTCGAGCGTCAACGATCACTTCCACGAGTTCTTGGCCGACCTGCTCAAGAAGAACCTCTGCCATGACCTCAACCCCTCCAACCCAGCAGTCTCTCACGGCGAGCAGCAGCTCAGGCCCGAGCTTCGCTTCCTACAGCGCGCCTCTCTGAGGGGAGAGGTCAGGGTGGACACGTGGGACAACCTCATCTTCGTGCGAGGGCCCATCAAGCAGCCCGAGCGAGCCATCCAGAAGTGCGTCAGGATCTATGGGAGAGACTCTGCCTGCCTCACCGACCTCGTGCGAGCGACTGTGGTGGTGGAGCAGCTGGAGCAGGTGGAGCAGCTGCTGGCGTTCCTCGAGAGCATCTCCGTCATCGGCACCAAGCAGGATCGGAGAGGAGGGAAGCAGCAGCAGCAGCAGCAGTCTCCTTCAAGTCAGCCCTTGTTCCGCATCGTACGCGTCAAGAACAGGTTCTCGGACTCGAGCCGCTACTACGAGCCGGAGAACGCGTACCGGAACCTGTCGATCAACCTGGAGGTGGGCTGGGTCTTCGAGGAGGAGCAGTGTAAGTTCCTGCCGGTCAGCGAGTGGGACCTCAAGATGGCTGAGACCCACATCTGCGAGCTCCAGGTAAGACGCTGCCCGCCCCCAGCTGCTGTCCTGCTGCTTGTGAGGGGGAGGAGGGGGGCGTTGACGAGTGAGGTGCAGGTACATCTGCTGTCGCTCTACGAGCAGTACCAGGAGGGATCCAAGAACTACGTGCTATGGCGCGACATGCTCACCAGATAGCCCAGCTGCGGCGACGACTCGCGTGCTGGCACCAGTATGTAACTTGAGTGAGATGTTGTCAACATGCTCCTGACTTGGTTGTGACATTTCTCCAGCTGCATGTCAACTTTGTGATGACCTGGCTTGCTGGGCCTCCTGCTGGGCGATTTCTGTTGTACATTTATAACATGCTTGCTTGTTCATAGATCCTCTCGCCTCCTCGGCCTCGTGACTCAATCTCGCTCCCTCCCTCCATCACCCTCGACCCCCTCGTTCCTCTGTCTCCTTGAAGGACCAGAACAAGGCAGAGGACGAGAAGCTTCGAGACGTTCAGCTGGTCAGGAGCAGGAGAATTCGCCGGTTCAAGACTTGGATGGCGGCGAGGAAACTCCAGGAGCCCAGGGCCCTCATGCTGATGGGGGGAATGAGAGCAGGCACGATCAGTGCGAGAGGGCGAGGAAGGGACGAGAGAGGGGTGCTGTAAGGGAGACAGGGGGGGTGGGGGAGGGGTGGATGGGAGATAAGAGGAGACAAGCAGAAAAGCAAAAGAGGGAGAGGAGGAGCAAGAGGAGAAGAGGAAGATGAGGAGGTCGGTGGAGGGGGAAAATGAGAGGACGAGGAGGAGGAGGGGCGGGGGGCGGGACGGGAGGGAGGGGGGGGCGAGGAGGAGGAGGAGGAGGAGGAGGAGGAGGATTAACCGTGTTTGTCGGTCATGAAGGCTTCGGAGGACGCTAGCGACCCGACGCCTACGAGGAAGTCAAGGCACAGGAGACGTGGAACAGACAAGAGATGAAGCGCATGAGGAGGAGGAGAGGGAGAAGAAAGTGGAGGAGAGACGAGCAGGAGTTGTCCTTGCAGCTTGTCTGGCCTCACAGGCGTCGATGACGAACGATGACGCGAGCCCAGGCAGTGAAGAGGCGGGAAAGAAGCTGGCCGAGCACGCGGGAGAGCAGCAGAACCGACATGCGACGCGTCATGCGGCTCCTCTTGGCTGCCTGACGCCACGCGGCGAGAGCTGAAGCAGAGCTGGAGGAGGCGAGGGATACAGCCTGACGCCAAGAGCGGAGAAATCGACGACAGAGAAAGGAAGAAGTCCATTCGACCATCCTCCTCGCTATCGAATGAATCTGACAGACAATTAGCCGCCGCCCCCCACCCCTCCTCCCGTCCTCCTCCTCTTCCCCCCACCCCTCCTCCTTCTCTCCTCCTCTTTGTCGTCCCCCCCCCCCCCTCCTGTCCTGCTCCTCCTCCCTTCTATTCGTACTTGTCGGATGCGAGCGGCGTTGAGGCCAGGGCTGGTTTGGGATATGTGGGATGTGAGCAAAGCAGAGGAGGAGGAGGAGGAGGAGGAGGAGGAGGGAGGGAGCTGAGGATCTTGGCTGTGAAGGACCGAGCGAAGCATGGCAGCTCGAAGGTTCCAGAGGTTCTGCGAGGCCTCGAGAGCCCATGAGGAGGAGGAGGACACGCGCCGATGCTGCATGAGGAGACGGCAGACGTCCTGCGCTGCCCGGCACTCCTCCTCATCCCATGGGAATGAGCAGGAGACTCGACCTGCAGGCACTGAGACTGCAGAGCCGTCGAAGAGAGCAGAGGAGGAAGCCTGTAGAACACGAGCACGAGAGTGAGAGCGAGGAGGAGGAGGAGCATGAGGATGAGGATGAGGATGAGGATGAGGATGAGGATGAGGAGGAGGACCGCCAAGCTTCTGAAGGGGAGTCTCTCCACAAACGCCTTCAATTCAATCCTGTTGCTTGTTGCACAGCCGTCAGAGGCTAACGCCTCCTCCTCCTCCTCCTCCTCCTCCTCACCTGCTGCATCCGTCGCCTGCCTCAGCTTCTGCACGTAGTAGACGCGACGAAGAAGCCTCGGGCGCCTCTAGTTCGCGGAGGGAGATGGCAGGAGGAAGGCAGCTGGGATGGGAGCTCCGAGAGGAGCAGGAGGGTGAGGAGGCGTAAGACCAGGAGGTCTCAGTGAAGCATAGCTCCATGTCACTCGCTTCCTCCTCCTCCTCCTCCTCCTCCTCTCGCTGACGCTTCTCCCCTTGAACGGCTTCCCTTAGCTCTTTCTGTTCCCTCCTGGTTCACTAAGCTCTCCCCCCCCTCCTCTCCCTCGTCTGCTGGCCCTGCAGTCACTTCTGTCGTTCTCACCTCCTGATCGACCTTCAAGCTCCTCTCGCCTTGCCTCCTCCTCTCGTCTCGCCTCCTCCTCTCGCCTCGCCGCCTCCTCTCGACTCGCCTCCTCGTCTCGCCTCGCCTCCTCGTCTCGCCTCGCCTCCTCCTCTCGTCTCGCCTCCTCCTGCTGCCTCGCCTCCTCCTCCTGCTCGCCTCGCCTCCTCGTCTCGCCTCGCCTCCTCCTCTCGCCTCGCCTCCTCGTGCTGCCTCGCCTCCTCCTGCTGCCTCGCCTCCTCGTCTCGCCTCGCCTCCTCGTCTCGCCTCGCCTCCTCG